CTGCTGCCAAATGTAAAGCCTAGCTCATTTTCTGCTTTGCTAAAGACAAACAAAAAATCACCTAACAGTAATTTGGACGATAGACTTATTATGGCTCTTTCATAAATGAAATAAAAAAGCTACATCTCTTTCAAAAAGGAACTGATATTGCAGAGACAATATTGATAGCACTACTCCCTGTCAGTGCTGTGCATTTATATCAATAATTTACATAAGGAGTTAAAAAACAGGCCTTATCTCCTCCTGTCAAACCAAAACAAGTCCTAGACAAGCCTGCAAGAACTTAATAACCATATAAAGTCTGAATCAAGAACATGGCTAATTAATATTCAATACATGTACAGCGTAGCGTTTGTTTCCAAATCTATTTTGATGTAATGGTGTCTTTTGAATAGCACTCTGCAGCAAACAGGTATTTTCTGCTTTTTAACTCAACTCAGTTCTTTTCCTACTTCAGTTTTACAGTAAGTGGACCTTCATCTCAAGTAACCCAACTCAGATCGACTTCTTTATGCATCTTGTAAAACGTTTTCTTTGATATTTATGAACAAACTGTAACATGAACTGTATGCCATAATTAGTTTTAAAAACATTTTATATTTGACGTGCCATAAAAACCCATATGAGGTGTTTCAAAATTAATAGCCGTCCAGTTTGATTTCTGTCTGAGCGTAAGTCTGGCCAAGCTTCCCACAGTGGATGGTACAAAGACTTTTGTTTCCTCGTATCAATAAATATGGCAAGAAAAGCTTTAAAAAAAACCCTCTCAGAATGAGTTTTTATTTTCCCTGAGATTCAGCACGGATAAAGATTATGAAAACAATTAATTACAATGTGGCCTTCTGAATATGTTGTCTTCTTATCAAGATTTTTACTGCAGTGGCATTGATACATTATCAACACCTGATTATTTTTACGACATTTTATTTTACTTCTTGAAACTATGTATGCGTTATATGGGAGGTTAGAGCAGAAATACAGTCTGGTACATTTGATTTTAATGTGAAAATGACTCACATGACTTATAATACAAGCAGGGAAAATAACAGAAAAGGGAGACTATACAGGTGAGCAGTGCGAAAAAACCCCCACAAAAAACGAAAAACAACACCTTGAATATTGCTGGCTTTTTCTCAATGTTCCAGTTAAGTGTTAATTAAGTTGTCCAACAATTCTGTTGAAAAAGCCGGGCTTTTTCTCATGACAGAGAACATAGGAGGTGGGAATGTAGTGAAATAAAGGGAACTAATTACTGAGGGAAAGGCTGTAGATATGACTCAACTAGTAATGAGTTCAAAAAGCCTTACAGCTTTTTGTATAGTTTTAATCAGTCTGAGATGAATGTTTCTGTTTCAAAAAGTGTTTCATTAAAGCAGCTCCATTTTTACACAAAAGAATGACATCTTTGTTTATTTACCTTTTATTGCCCTCTAAGACTCAGTACAAATGCTCACCACAGTATGAAAGAAGCAAAAGAAATCGAAGCACAACCCTACCTCTGGCAGAAAACTCAATTCACAGAGATTTAGAGTTTTCCCCTGCTCCCCCCAACCCAACTGGTTTGCACTGGAGAAGAGGGAGAGAGCTCTAGGTTATGTTTAGAGAATAAGAAGGAAAGGAATGAACACAAGAGGAACTACAAAAACTTATTTTAAACTGTTAACACTTAATTGTGTAAAAGTGAATGTCAAGGAGGCAAGATATTAATAAAGTGTTTGAAAAATAACAGCATATTTAAATAGCATGATATGATTTCAATTCATCAACTAGAAAACTGATACTCAGATCATTTCACAAGCCATACGAGAAATTTGAATAAAATCTTATCTTGTACCATGTGGCCTGATTATTCTTCAAGCCACAAAGTTCCACGTAATTTCTTCAGACGGAAAACCCAAACAAATGAACTTCATCACAATCATTTGTTACAGCATCTCTAAACCATGCATGGCAACATAATACCACAATGCACTAATTTCTCCAGATTAATATTCATTACGTAGAAATATGTAAAAAATTACTCGGCTGCAGAGAACATTAACATTCAAAAGTTCAAACAAAAGACAAATACTTATCAGTTCAGACATTAATAAGCAATGTAGAGGAAAGAAGTGGGGAAAAAACACTCAAATGTGTTATATTCTTAAGCAAAATATGCCTTATGAACACAAACACACATTTTGTTGTTTGTGTTCTAGAACTGAATTTGAATTCAATCAGTTGTTCGAGACAGCAGCTTGCAATGGAACTGGCAGACCTTTTACAGGTTCACGCTACCTAAAAATTAAAAGCTAACACTTTAATTCTTGTCCCCAAATCATAGGAAATTTTCTTTGTTTCTAGGTGCAGCAATTCAGCAATGAATTAAAAAGGCCTGCTTTTCAATAAAACCATAGCATCACAGAATATCTCGAGTTGGAAGGGACCCATCAGGATCACTTGAGTCCAACTCCCTGCTCCTCACAGGACTGCCTAACACTAAACCAAATAATTGAGAGCATCAAACTCTGACAGGTTGGGGGCCGTGACCACCTCCCTGGGGAGCCTGAATAAATAAGCTGATCAAATAAGGAAGAACGAACAAGAAATTATGCACAGGGAATTATATACCATCTTCAATCTTGGCCCTTCTCAGGAAAATAGAGAGATGGAAGATAGATGCTTACTACTATTTAAAAAAGGGTGTTGCAAAACATGAGATGCGGTTCTGCTTCTCCACCTGTTACAAACAAATCCCCAAGACACAAAACACTTCCTTTGCATTAAAAGAAATAATAAATTTTATAGTGTGGTATATTTTCCTGATAAATCCATCAACAAAAACCCCTTCCACTCTGAGAAGACCTGACTGTGTGGGACAATATTTAGATCTGCCGTTCTGGATCAGTACCATTCTCCTTTGGCTCTACAAAATTTCTGTGTAGCAAATTTTAGTAAATACGTAACTGTGGTGAAAGCTCCTTTCAAAAGTGCCATATGCAACGAAAGAAGTGGAAACATCTGTGAGTTAGTAGTCCAAAGAAACCAGAGAGAACTGGGAAAGCAGCATGAAGAACCATCCCGTCACTCTTGCAATACATCAAAAAGCGCAGCAGAACTGCACCATACTGTGTTTATTACCAAAAGACGAGACAGATGTGAGAGAAAGAAGACTTCAGAAGAAATCTTACTCAACTGCTGTCACGGAGGCTCATCTTAGATGCCACCTATGATAACGAAGCATTAGCCAGAGTCTCAAGACAGACACATAGTAATTACAGCTTGGGGACCTTACATAAGCAGCTAGCTAACCTATTTATCGTGACCTTGCGATGGTACTTGATTCACAGCTGTCTGACATGTGCTGAATGGATTATATTCTAAAAATAATTGATGCTTCTCTGCTAGTCCGTTCAATCAGCAAACAGTTTCCCCCCAGTTTCTTGCAGCGCTGAAAGTATTTCCTCTAGAAAAACACTCGGGCAAGAACATCTGTTTAGAAACCGTAAGAAAAAAATGTCTGCAATGTAAGCCATGTCATGAGTAAAGGTTGTGTTATTTTTATGAATGCATTTATGTCTGTAAAGGACTGGGAATCAATGTGAGCTCAGGTACATGAAGGTCAGAAGTCACCAACACCCTGATTTTAGATGTGTTCGAAGTTCTACACTGACAGGCACATAGCCTTGTGCATCATCCACAAAGATAATAAACACTTTGAATATATCACAAAGGACTAAGTTGAAAACAATCCATAAAAGTGACTCTTGCACTTTAATAGTTGTTCTATGTCTCTACAAGCATTTAATCTCTTCAAGATCTGAAGTTAGTTGGCTGAAAAATGACTACCTTCACATCTGAACATTTTCCATTTAACCACCACAATGCCTTCAAGTGGTCACCCAGTCTCATCCCTCTGAAAGCTTCCAAAGTGGCTTTTAAAATAGACAGTAAATGGGGGAAATGAATTGTGTGTTTACAGTTCCCGTTTTACAGAGACGGTAAATAAATTTAGTATTGTATTTGCACCTACCATTTCCTTGTGATTTGGATAGAACGTTTGCTCAATTAAAGGGAACTTCTCTGGACCCAAAGATTTGTAGACAGACACCAGCTGGGCAAACTGTAAAATAAAGGAAAAGAAACCAAAAAGCTTAGGAGAGAAACCACATTCTGCCAAAACGATCTCATACTGTCATTTTGCTTCTTGTCTTCCATGTTTCATAAACTCAGCGACTACACACACACGTTTTACACTTGCTCTGTCCTCCTCTCTCACATGCACAACTTTTTTATGCATCCAGGCTATATCACACACAGATCAACAAAAAACAATACCTCTAAGAGTTAAGCCTTCATATGTGCAGAAAATGAAATACACTGGGATACTGGTTCTCAGATATCTCCTAGTCTATGTATTTAAGCTGATTTTCTGATAATAAAATCATTATAATTTTGAATTTTCTACCATCTTTAATCAAAGCCCAGCTATATTTCACGTTAATTTAGCCTCTGGCACCTCACAGACATTGAGACGCAATTTTGCAAAACTGGAAAAGAGAGAAAAGCAATAACTATGTCATACTTAACAAGTCAGGTGAAGAACAAACAAGAGAATTTTAATTCCCTAGGCTCTAGCCATGTACCACGGCCGTTCTTCCACAGTCAACAACAATGTTGATAATTTAAACAGCTACATAACATTGGCATTTCTATTGTTTTTTTCCAGGTCCTTTCTCTGACATATCCAGCCTACTTATATGCTGGACTGTTGTAACCCGACGCAAAAAGCAAAACAACATTTAAGCACAAGAAGACAAAGAATTCTGTATTAAATAGGAATTTATTTCAGGGCTGTTCTTTCGCTTTAGTGAACAGATCAACTCTTCTGGTGTAACAGTTCAAAAACTAAATCACTCTTGAAATCCTGGTTTAGCGAGTGAGGTTCCTAGGGAGCAAGACGACTTTGGCAGCCAGAAGACCGCTATTGTTTCAGGACTCCAAAGCTCTGGCTTGTACATGCCCGTGATGTGTTTAATTGTCATTATGCCAACATGAGACACAAACAACTTAGCACAACAGTCTGAATAGTGAGATTTGCTGGTTACAAACAGGAAAAAAAGCAAAGCACAACAGAACTCTGTCCGTAATGCGGTTTGATCAAATACCTACTCTGTTAATGCAATTTAGGGTGCAGCAATAGTAAAAACTGTTTAAAGGGAAAAAAAAAAAATGATGAAAGCTTTGCATTCCGTTTCCAGCTGGCATAGAGAATTTGTTTAATTTAGTGGTGTTTACTTAGGTTTGGCAAAACACATATTTAAATTTTGAAGTCCAGTGGAAAATACCTTAATGATGAGTAGTTTTCACCAAAAGCTTAAGAAATTCTAGTTGGTTAGAGTGCTGTACAAAACAGACCTCAAGGAAAGGAAATATTATCACAGCTACCAAAATAAGGTGGTTTGTGAACAGGATTCCTGGCAACTGACTCTTTTATTTCTCTTCTTATCCAAGATCCAAATTCAAAATTTCATAAGCAAATACTGCCTACTAAATGCATTATTTTTGCCAAACAATTGTTATGTTAAAATAAATCTATTTACCCATATTTAAGTAAAAACCTTTAAAAAAATTGTATGATTGTACTTCCTGGGATTCTTGCCTCGTTTTCTTTTCCATTTACACTGAAAGCAAGCAAAAGGCAGTGAGAAACTGATGCTATTTGTAGGGGTTGTGCCATTCACTCAAGAGGTGAGAAAGCTGTAATTCAGATTAACACCAGCAAATGCTTGTTTACTTAAAATAAAATAGTATCAACCACAGATAATACACACGCATCACTCTGAAACACCCTCTAACCTAGGAATTAAGCTATGAAGTAACATGTAGGAAAAGAAGGTCTAAATTTCCTTTAAATTAATTAAATTTCAGTTTAATGAACTTTTATCAATTTGTAAGCATCATCTGGACTATACGTTTTTTATATTTTCCTGTTGAGCAGCTGAACCAGACAAATAACAGCTATACAGACCAAAGCAAAAGACCACTTCTGAAAACCCTGTTGTATCTGTACAGTTTGGAAGCTATACAGAGTTTACAAATAGGCTGAATATCAAATACCACATTGCCCAACTTTCTACCCAAATCAGGTTTTAAAAGTCTGGTTGAAACTACACTACCAAGTTTGATTTGACATTTTTTAGACATTATTAAGAAATAAAAAAAAAACCAAAACCACCAAAACCCCCACATATTAATGCTTTGCCTTCATTAGAGTTTCAAAATGTTTTGGCTTACTGGGCTAGCTAATATGGCCTTAAATTACACCTTTAAATCACAGTAAAATTTATTAATTTCTTCCCTGGGCAAGAGCATCATCTTTTTAGATGATAAACTACTGGATTATCATCTAATCCAATGCTGAATGTTTTCACATACGGGATGTTCATGAAATATAGAGTAGGTATAGCAGTATTCTCTATTTAAATAAAGTATTTTATATGGATGCTGAAAACCTTGGGAGATTTTAATTATTTTAAAAAAGAAACTCATAGAGTTTAGTATTTCAGCAGGCATCTTTTCAACATCTTAAGAAAAAATAAGAAAGTGAAAAAGTTCTTCTAGCTTTTATTTTAGCTAGCTGAATTTAATTCTCTTCTTCCAATTTTGCACCTTATTTTCAGCTTGAACAGAGATAATCTCAGGTACATACATTTATGGTTTCAGATTATTGTTTTAAAAGGAAATTAGTGGGATTTTGTAACGTTCTTTGTAATGTCAGCTCTTCTCTTTTCTACTAGGGATTAAATGCTTTCACATCAAGGCCTATAGATTGTTTTTCCATAAAAGGAGAGCACCAGCTGTACTTTTTCTCCTCTCTAACAAAGTGTGATACAGATAAGAAGAAAAACTTAGTCAAAAAAGACACTTACTCCCTTTGATTCCATATAAAAGCTTTACGAGGTTTCATTACACTGGGAATGGAACACTATAAATTTGACTTCATAGACTGTGCTGTAATCAAGCAGCGTACAGTTGCAAAAAATCACTTTGCTAACTTCATAAAGATTCAAATAATGACTTTGCTTATCACTTTAGATGAGCTAAAGCGTGCCTAATTACACGCGCGTCATCCCTGAAACGCTCAGGCTTTTTCCTGCACAAACCGTGTAAACTTTTGCCTCAAAGATAATTAGATAAGCTATTTAAAATGAATTACTCCAGATGGTGCTTTGTGTTACCTTTAATTCCAGCAAGCTTCTCATCTCTCTTGCCAGCCTGAAGGATATAGACCATTGTCCATTCCAGTGGAGAATTTCCTGGTATGTTGAATAAGATTTTCATGCAACAAACTACTTCACATTTGCCTGTACAGTTGCTCCCTATCAGGGAAGTACCACTGAGCTGAGAATTATAAAACCTTTTCTGTCAGAGATTTTCCCTTATTGTGAGCATTCATTATCTGTGCTCCTTAGAAGTTCAGGCTTGCTTCTACTGGCAGTGGAAGAACTCCAACTAGTTATCTAATACTTCATGGGAACAACTAAAATGATCGCGAAATTCTCTGGATAGTCTGTTTCACCAAACCAGATGAGTTGGAATTCTCTAGGACTAGAGAAACAGGAAAACTTTGATGAGTGAACACTTTTGAATCCCTCTGTCGTAAAAAAAAATTGTGCTTTTCGCTGAGATTTAACTTATCTTTGACTGCTCTAAGGTGTGGGCTTATATACAGAGTGAAGAAACGTAATGCAATACCAGTTTACTTCTGGATTTCCATATACAAATTTGCCTTTTACCAAACGTATTAGATGTGTATCAGTGTTTGTGGGTGAAATTACTAAAATAAAATTTCTACGTTTCTAATATGATCTCAACATTCGGTATTGCTGCCAGCTTTCTTTGAATATGAACTACTTAAAAGCAGATCATGCAAAACAGTTTGAAGATCAGGTCATTACGTTGATCAAACATTTAGACAGAGTAGAAGTTTCATCCTACTGTATACTTAAATGATTCCTTTGTAAGATTAAGAATTGATGAAAGACAGCTTTCCATGGAAATGCCATAGAGGTTCCCAGTATTTCTCTGTGACATGCACACTAGAGTAAATTACGCCTGAATAATATGTATATCATTACATGTGAGCGCAGACGGGGGCCTCAGCAATTGGATTTTCTCTTTCCATATGCAAAGGGAAGCTCCTTTCTCCCTGTAATGACCTGCAGTGGTCTCTTGTGGGGTCTGTAGGTTATGAAGCTGGAAGATGAGCTGGTTTACATTAAAGGCTGGTTAATGTTACATTTTTATTATAGGAAACTAATAAAGAACTTTTTAACAAAGAATACATTAACTTTTTTATTCCCTTCAGGTAGCACTGTGAAAAATGTCCTGAAGTCCGTTCTTAGGCTGAAATCTCTATTTTTAGGCTGAGGCTTGGAAATATGGCTGGTCATTCCAGAAAAACATGATTGCTTCAGAAAAGCAAAGACTTTGAAAAGAGAAGACTTCAGGGGGACCTAATAGCTGCCTTCCAATACCTGAAGAGAACCTACAGGAAGGCTGGGGAGGGACTTTTTACAAGAGTGTCCATTGACAGGACAAGGGGAAATGGGTTTAAGTTGAAGGAGAACAGGTTTAGATTAGATCTTAGGAAGAAATTCTTCAGTACGAGGGTGGTGAGACTTTGGAATAAATTGCCCAGGGAGGTTGTGGATGCCCCCTCCCTGGAGGTGTTCAAGGCCAGGTTGGACAGAGCCTTGAGTAGCCTGGTCTAGTTGAGACGCGTCCCTGCCCATGACAGGGAGGTTGGATTAGATGATCTCTGAGGTCCCTTCCAGTCTGTGCCATTCTGTGATTGCCTTGTAAAAGTAAGAGGTGTTCAAAGGCACAGACTGAGTACCATTAGTACAAACACATCGGGGTCCTTGGTGGCCAACACATTGAGACACAAACATTGTAGACCCTTCAGAGTGAGAAGAAATTAAGCAGTTGTGTGGAAGGAGGTGGGAGGTACATTTGACACATGCAGTCAGTGGGAGTCAATTTACTTTAACCAAGATTCTTCACTTTGCCTGTATTTTAAACACAGCTTCTGTATTTCTCTTTGTGTTTTGATTATTT